GGGATGTGAGATAGACTTACCTCCATGTGGTGCACCCTGGGCAACGTATAATCATACGGCAAAAAATTCTATCAACCTGCAGTTGACTTCTAATTTTAATCTACCATCACCCCACTGTATGTCATATTCGACCCCTACCACAGTACTCATCTTACCCTTTCTGAGCCTTGGTGTCTGTCTGTTTCTTTTACATCTGTGAATCACTCTTCTGTTCTCCCTCTCGAATTCTTCTCATTTTGATGTTCCTCCTCCCCTCTGTGAAGCCCGAAGTCAACTAAAGGGCTAATGATAATTATCAAAACGCCTGCAATTTGTTATAAATAAATGAATAACTTTCTTCTTTTATTATTAATCAATAGGAACTTTTAATTAAATAAATTTTTTTTGATCCGCAAGTTCGTGACTCATTGACTATTTTCAGTTAAACCTTTATCATTCTCCCAATTAATTTCTCAGTGAGGTACTAATATCATGCGAACATAGCAGGGAATGACTGACCTTATTGGACATGTCAAAGTACGGGATCTGGTTGGAAGGAGTAATTTTTTTCATACTTTTGCATATTTTAGGAAATCAGTGATGGTATTCTTGAACAATTAATTTGAGAGAGAGAGTGTTAAGAACCTAGGTTAAGATTCACGGACCACACAAATATAGTTCGCGGCAAAGTGTTTCTCCTTCCTTGTGAAAATACTGGGTTGTTTTGGCCTCAATCATCTTTCGCAAATATTCATAAATGGTAGATTGTACCAATCGGAATTAAACCAGCCAATCAATTAGCTAACATTAGTACGGGAATCAATGAATCAAACAATGGCTAGAATGCAATCCCTAAGAATTGGATAATGCGAATTGAGCTAAATAAAATAAGTGCAAACAGTGATGCCTTAATTGTACTGTTAAAATGTGTTAACTGGGAGGAGAAGCCAAACAATTCTTTTTGTCTGATGGAATGAGCGGTCATTCATTTATCGGCGGTAAAGGTGTGAATGAACCAGGTCAGCACATGGAGGTTTTAAAAATGACAAAGAAAGGCATCACTGAACAGAACACAGACAATCACGTTATAGGAGGTGTATTGATGAATTATTACGAGTTTAACTTAATGAGACATTTAAATTTAGCAGTTTTTTCCTCACCGCAGACTTCTCAACACTACCTTTCTTGTCATCCATTAGGCTAGTACCCTGTGCCAGTCGGGTTCCCACAACCTTTCTTTCAAGGTTTAGCTAATCACAGCTCTTAATTTTGGAACTCTAATTGTATTTTACTGCAGTAAATCGATCCATCTAGATACTAACCTCCCCGTCACCTCTCTCAAGAATCCCCTACTTGTAATACACTCAAGGCCTAGTTAACACTGTGTTCCTACGTGCCTGAATTTTGAGGAAAGGTAATCGAAGCAAAGCTAAAGGAGTTGAGACATCCTAATGTGCCAATTAAGATAAATCGATATTTAACTTACAGGAAAAGGCAAAAGTCCCCACTAAAACTGATCACTGCTTCATTTCCGTCCTTTTTATCCCAACCTCGAGCTCAATTTCCATATTGATCAGGTTATTAATATGTTTGATACAAATTAAATTGGAAGGAAAGAGAGTATTTTTGCTCCAATTTCAATTTCATCGAATTATCTAATCCCCATATAGGGAATTGCGTATCAAACCGAAGAGGTCCCCAGGAAGAACACGTATTTACCGGATCTAGTCGTATTATTCTTACCAATTTCAACTCTTCAGCTAAACAAGCAAGACATAATTGAAGACAGGTGATGAATGAAACACTTTCAAATTGACGAATAGTGAAAACTTGAACACCATTTTTAAATTTCTTACAAAGCTATGAGTTGCAGAACTCAAGTTTACTTAGTGAGCGAATGACAGTGAAGCTCAATGCCTATTTACTCATTGGTTAGATTTAGGGGTCATTCCAACCTTTTCGTCAGTTAGGTAAACTAATCATCCTAATTCATTATTGTACAATTCCTGGAATTGATTGAATTAAATTTATAAGCATGGCTACTCCCTTATGAGAGTAAAGTAGTTTAGCTAACTTAATAATCTATCCTCTTTTGACTATTTGAAGGCATAACTTTTAATTCAAGAGGTGTGCGATAGACTTACCTCCAAGTGGTGCACCCTGGGCAACGTATACTCATACGGCAAAAAAGTCTATTAATCGGCAGTTGACTTCTGACTTCAAACTGTCATGACCCCACTGTATGTCATATTCGACCCCTACACAGTACTCACCTTAGCTTTTCTCTGCCTTTGTGTCTGTCTGTCTCTTTTACGTCTGTGAGTCATTATTCTGTCCCCCTCTCGACTTTTTACCAGTTGTATGTTCATCTTCCTTTCTGTGAAGCCCGAAGTCAACTAAATGGCTGTACCTCTTCCTTTCTGTGAAGCACGAAGTCAACTAAAGGGCTATGGATACCTATCATAACGCCTGCCATTTGAAATAAATAAATACTTCCTTTCTGTGAAGCACGAAGTCAACTAAAGGGCTAATAATACCTATCATAACGCCCGAAGTCAACTAAATGGCTAATGATACCTATCATAACGCCTGTCATTTGAAATAAATAAATAAATATAAATACTTTTAATTCAAAGGTCTTATAGGAGATAAACCTCCTCAACTCGAAATTCTCAGTATTCAGAAGGTTTGAAGTTGAATTTTTGAATATTGGGACTTGACATCATGAACTATGCTCATTAAGAGATATGTAAATAACCTTATGAACTCCAAATTCAAATGCCTCCACTCTCTCATTGGTTATCCCTTATCCTCCACCTCAATTAAACATTATTTCCAGCATTTTTTTATCAATCTAATTAATGCATATCGCTGATTTCAAAAAATAGAATGATTGTAAAACCGCTACTTTATACATAATAAATGATAATGAAAATAATAATTTGATTTGTGCTTAGCAATTACCAGTGCTTGTCAGGACAACCGTAATGAAAATTTTATTTACATCGAATATATATATATATATATATATATATATATATATGTGAATATACGTTGCCCAGGGTGGACCACATTGAGGCAAGTCTACTGCACACCCCTCCCCCATAACTCCGGTATGAAATATCAAATTTTCAAAATCGATCATCGACTTACTCACTTATCTCACTCGACTACAAATGAGGTGAATGCAATATTTTTTTAATAAACAAAAGGTTCGCTCCGTCTCTTCTTTAATTATCATATCTGCAATAGGTTCCACAAGGCATAAATGAAGATATTTCATGGAAATAAATCGTATTGACTAATGGCAATCTTGTCTTTCAAACACGCTCTTACTGCTTTTACACATAATCGTGGAGGGAACAGCTGAGTTCTCCCGTGGGGTTTCGATGATATTAACATAAATGTAAAGTTCGAAAGAACCTTTAATCATTGGAAAACAGTCGTAACACTGCTTTGAAGATGATGATGATGAGACACCAGAAAAGAAATGAGAAGTAAAGTTCTATCCAAATATGTCTTTTGTGAAACCTTGGCGTATAATAAACGATTATTGTTGATGATATTTATCATTAACAGTTTAGTTGACTTCGGCTTTCACAAGGGGGAGAAGAGGAGCATATAAATAGGCTTTAGGATAGTTAACAGTAGTTCATCAGTTGACCTTTAGCTTCTCAGTATCTCTGGGTTTCCGTCGTTGTCTTTAGGGCTGGACACCGAATCAGGTGGGACTTCTCCATTTCCTCCTGTAGGTTACATAGGGGCCATGCTGGCTGAGTGTTTTGCCAGGCAATCGTGTCCGGTACGTAGTATAAACCGGCTCTGTCCGATACGTAGTCTAAACTCAGCAACGGCTTCGATTCTCGTAGTCGGCTATGTCGGAGAGTGCCACTGTCCACTGTTTCTCTGTTGTTCGAGCTTTGAGTTCGTTGAACCTTGAGGTCTGGAATTCGAGCTTTAATTTCGTTGCACACATGAATTCTCTCCTGATTAAGGCCTTCATTGTGTGGACTGTCCGATACGTAGTCTAAACTCAGCAACGGCTTCGATTCTCGCCAGCCGGGTATGTCGGAGAGTGCCACTGTCCACTATTTCTCCTAGCTATATCGAAGAGTGCCACTGTCCACTGTTTCTGATTCTTGGCTAGTCGGCTATGTCGGAGAGTGCCACTGTCCACTGTTTCTCTTTTGTTCGAGCTTTAGTTTCCACTGTCCACTGTTTCTCCTTTGTTGTTTAAGTTCGTTGCACCTTGAGATCTTGAATTCTCTTCTGATCGGGAGAGTGCCACTGTCCACTGTTTCTCATTTCCGAGCTTTAAGTTCGTTGTACCTTGAGGTCTTGAATTCTCTCTGATCAAGGCCTTCATTGTGTGGAAAGACATCGGCCGGTTCTCTTTTCGAGCTTTAATTTCGTTGCACGTCCACTATTTCTCCTTTGTTCGAGCTTTGAGTTCGTTGCATCTTGAGGTCTGAAATTCTCTTCTGATCAAGGCCTTCATTGTGTGGAAAGACATCGGCCGGTAAGGTCTCTCCTGATTGTGGTCTTCATTGTGTGGAAAGACATCGGCCTTGCAAAATTGTTGTCCCCTTCTTAGCAAGTGCGTCAGCACGCTCATTGCCTTTAATGCCACAATGACCAGGAATCCATTGTAGGACCACTGTTTTGTTTTTCCTCTCAGCATCTAATAGAGTTTTTACATTCATATATCTCAGCTGTTTTGGGTGGCTCCCTGTTTCCAATAGAGTTTATTGCTGATTGTGAGTCCGAAAGAATTAGTGCTTTGGTGAGTTTCGTATCCAGGCAGCACAACTAGCCTAGTTCTATCTTAATGGCCTCTATTTCTCCTTCGAAAGCGGATCTATTGTGTCCCACTGCTGCGTAGAAAGAGAATAGTTCAGAGCCATTGATCTGCAGGATAGTTGACATTGATTGTCTCAAGGGCCAGTGAGCGCATTTGCTCTGGATGGGTGTTTGATTTCCTGAAGAAGTCGAGCAGTTTGGGGGCAGCACACTACATCAGTGTCTTCTAATGGGTTCATGGGGAGAGAGAGGCTTTTTGGTTTGTCATCGATTTGTAATTCTTTCTTCAGTTCTATGGCTTTCTGTATTAGATCAACGTTGCTTTCCTGGATTGGTCTAGCAGTTGGGTGCAACATTGTACATCAGTGTCTGCTAATAAATTTAGGTTTAGTGAGAGCATTGCATTAATGGGTGTTGATTTTATCCCTCCAGTAATTGGTCGTAATGCCTGGTTGTGCGCCTTCTCGAGTGGTTCGAGAATCACCTCCTGGTTGTGCGCCTTCTCGAGTGGTTCGAGAATCACCCCAGAGGCTGTACTGAGTGGCTCACGACAATACAACATTAGTTGTTGAACAAACATCTTGTAAGCGGTGTTAAGAGTTGAGCGTGCACAGCCCCATACGCTACCAGCAAGACGCTTCAGTACATTCAGTCTATTGGAGACGCGTTCTGCAGACGCTTCATGACATTCCGTCTATTGGAGACTCGTTCTGCTATTTTAGCAATAGTCTATTAGCGACTCATTCTGCTATTTTAGCAATGTGACTTTTCCACGTTATGCTACCAGCAAGACACTTCAGTACATTCAGTCTATTGGAGCTACCAGCAAGACGCTTCAGGACATTCAGTCTATTGGAGACCGTTCTGCTATTTTGGCAATATGACTTTTCCACGTTAGCTGGTCTGCTATTTTAGCAATGTGACTTTTCCACGTTAGCTGCTGACGCTTCAGTACATAGTCTATTAGCGACTCATTCTGCTATTTTAGCAATGTGACTTTTCCACGTTATGCTACCAGCAAGACACTTCAGTACATTCAGTCTATTGGAGCTACCAGCAAGACGCTTCAGGACATTCAGTCTATTGGAGATTCGGTCTGCTATTTTAGCAATGTGACTTTTCCACGTTAGCTACTGCTATTTTAGCAATGTGACTTTCCATGTTAAGTTTGTGTTCAACGTCATTCCAAAATAAATGAACTCGTTGGTTTTTCTCGTGAAGTATCCTTGTGACTTAAATGCGAGTTTATTCTGTGGTGGGTGAAAGAAAATGTTTGGAACGCGGTTTTCGAGGTGTTGATAACCATTCCATTGTTGTCGTGCCAGTTTGTTAATAGCTTAAGTGCATAATTTAGGGCAATTTCTGTCCTCTCTTGAGCGTTTCTCTTGGGGGAGGAATACCATAGAACAAGATCATCTGCATAAAGTAGGCACTCGATGCCCGTGACTGTCTGTACCAATTCGGCTATGACACTTGATGCCCGTGACTGTCTGTACCAATTCGGCTTTGATGTGTTGGGGAAAAGTTGGTACTTGTTCACTACTAAGAATATTGTTAGTCACGAGGAACCAGGTCAGCCTCCTGTTAACCATTCTTTCCATAAGTTAAGCCAACATGCTTGTGAGGGAGATAGGCCTAAAGTTGTCAAAGTTGATAGGGTGTTTGCCCCTTTTTACCATTGGTATTGCTATGACAACTTTCCACTGAATTGTTATGAAACTAGTTTCCCACATTTTTCTGAAAGTGTAAGCATGATTTCCTTGGCTTTTGGCCGTCTTCGCCAGGAGAATTTTTGCATTTTAGCTGTTTTATTGCAGCATTAAGTTCG